TATCTTTTCTTTCAAAGAATCATTTCTAATTCCACTTCTTCTGATTATTTGTTTGACTTTTTGTTGGGCTAGGTTTATTTCATAACATGCATTAATGTGTTGACTTATAAAACTCTCAACACTTTCCTGAGGCAAAATTGTGAGGCTACCCTGGACTACATAGTTGGTTTTGTTTGTTTTTTGAGACACGGTGTCCCTGTAACCCTAGCTGGCCTAGAATTCACTAGGTAGACCAGCCTAGCCTCAACTTCACAGAGATCCATCTGCTTCAGGAGTGCTGAGACTACAGGCATGTGCCACTACACCTGGTCTACAGAGTTTTGATACCAGCCTGGGTGACATAGTGAGACCTTGTTTCAAAAGAAAAGTAAGCAAACCAAACTAAACCCAAAATACCAATTCCCCATGCCTCACCTAAGTATAAGACCCACCTCTCTCACAAAAAGTAGAAGCTTCCTAAAGGTGGGACCTTTCCTGTCCTCACTCTCCATGTTGTCCTGTACTCAGGACATGACCCAGCTAATGATATTCCTGCTCCTCAATGAAGCTGCCCTCATGGCCTAACTCTGGGGATGTTATATTAAACCACCATGAGCAACAAAATCTTAAAACACTGTCAACTTTCAGACTTCCACCTGCTCCAAGCGACATCAAGTAGTGTTAAAAAAACAAAAATCAAACAAAATAAGCACAATCACTAAAGGAATTTATCTCCTTGATTCACAGCATATAAATATTTTTTAAAAGGACACCCTAGGGAGAAGTCTCATCTTAAAAAATGGGGGGAAGGAGGCTGAAGAGATGGCTCAGCAGTTAAGAGCACTGGCTGCTTTTGCAGAGGACCCAGGTTTGATTTCCAGCACCCACATAGTGGCTACCAACTACCCAAAACTCCACTTCCAGGGGATCCAACACCCTCTTCTGACTTCTGTGGGCATTGCACATGAATGCATTTACATATATGCAGGCAATACACACATACATGTTTTTTAAAACCCCAAAAAACAAGATCTCATGTATCCCACAATGGCCTTGAACTACGTAGCTGAGGATGACCTTGAACTGCTGGTCCTCCTGCCTCTGCCTTCCAACTTCTGGAATCACAGACATGCTTGGGCACCATGTCCAGGCCCTAATCCTTATGGTATCTAAAATTAATCTTGTATTCCCAGATCGTAACCTGACTTTCTAGAATGAAAATCAATCCTAGTGCCAAAAGTAATCTTGTTCCCAGATCTCCCTCTGATTGTTTAGAATAGAGAGGTTATTTGCCCCTTCCAAATGCCTGGTATTTCCTTAGACTAACCCCACTCCCAAAAGCTGATTCTTTGGTTCCTCTTTATCTCCTACATATTGCTCAAGACAGTGAAAAGATTTTCCTTTTATTCCTTCCAACCTTTGGCCTCAAGGTACCCAAGAATCAAGATACTAAAAGCAGCCAGGCATGGTGGTGCATACCAGCACTTGGGTAAGGGAGGCTGAGGCAAATGGGTCTCTGTGAGTTCCAGACCAGTCTGCCAGGGATAGAGTGAGACCCTGGAAGGGGGGGGGGCAGGGAGCAAAGGCAAAAGCAAAGCACTTTGCACAGTGCCTGGCATATAGTAGGTACTTAACATGGATGTTGAGTTTCCTTTTTCTCACTTTTTCCCAAAGTCAGAGGTTTCTCTACTTTTTTGGGTCTGTGTTTTCACTGGCCAAAGTTGGCACTGAAATAAACTAATATTCCCTTGTAGCTCAAACACTGTGTGACTCTTAATTCACATTTTCTGGTTTGTCTGCTCTTCTGTGCACTGCTCTCATCTGAATCTAAAACAAGGGGAAGAGAAATAGTTTGCAGGCTGACACTTGCAATTTTAAAACACGAAAAATACAAAGTGTTTAGCATACTATCACTTCCTTTTTATTCCTAAATTACTCTCTTCAGCTATGTAGATAGCAATGTTAAGCAAATGTTCCATAAGTTATTTGCTTAATATTTTTGCTTATATTTTCTTGATCCCCTAGAAGAATGTCTGTTATTCCTCAGTTTGAGGGTTCTAGGCCTACGCCCAACCCTGTAGTGTGGAACATGGGAACTCTTACAGCAGTATTTTATGGGGCCTCCCTAAGATAAACTGTGAAGCTCTAAAGCAATCTTCCCCTAAATTTCACTACTCCAATAATACTTCTTCTATCTCAAAGACTGCTGCCAAACTGCTCTCTCTTCCCTACTTTTTCCACCTCTTCCTTACATTGTTTCATTTTATGTAAGACCTTTGGCCTCCTAGTAAAAATTGCAAATACTGGTCTAAAGCCAAACTTTGAAGTTCCTCAATTAAAGGGTACCAGGTACCTAAGCTTTCTCTTAAAGTCTTTGGATTCAGTTTGTTTTATCCCAGGCTGAAAAGAATTCAAATTGCATTTAACCTGGTGCAGTGTTGTCTAGTAGTTGATCCTCACCAGGACTGTCCCTCATTAGGCACAATTGAAGTTCTGAGACCAAAGGAAAAGGATCTATTCCCAGAGACAGCCCCTTAGGTATAGAAAAGACCCTCCCAGACCCAGGTTTTGGTTTTCATTTAGCTCTGATTGCAACATTGTGGCCTTTCTGCATGCTGTATCCCTAAGGGATGGTTGGTTTGGATATACTGTTCTTCATTCTTTTACAACTGTCAACTCTCCATTTGTTTTCAGATCCTAAGGAACATCTTAGTGAACTTTGTGGCTATATTCTTATTTCAGAGACGTATGCTGAGGCTGAGGGCTGCATAATGAGAAAACTTCAACATTTACCTACCAAATCTTTGAAATACTAACTTCACGTCTGTCTTTTAGCACTGGACTACGACTGAATTTTGAGATGAGAGCAACCTAGTGGTCCAAACATTTTCACATTCCAGTGGTTAGTCATCAAAACAGTCCTTATCTACTTTCTATTAGATACCATTAGCCCTCTTCTCACCAAGCTTTACTTCCCAGACATCATCTGCACCTGAACTTAGAAATGTCACTAGCAAAAGCAACAACCTCAGGATGAGAAGAGGATAAAGAGATGAAGTTGAAAGAATTTAAGCAGAAATACTGAAAGAAGATTCTTTATCTTTTTACATGGCACACACAATGCAAATTAAAACCTGCTTTCATACCTCTTGATAGTAAGTAAGGTTGTTTTGCTATCTCCCACCCCAGAAGTTGCAAGATCCAGATTTGTCTTCTGAATTGCCTGCAAAGGTTCTTGAAAACTATGAATAAACAGCAATTCTACATACTCAGCAGAGTTAAGCCATCAACCACTATGGCAGATCTGAATCATCTTGGATGGTGAGTGGGGCAGAAAACAGAAAGACAAGGAGAGGGGAGAAAGCAAGAAAATGAAAAGTGGGTAGGTAGAGAGAAAACTATCCACAGTGAGCGGTGGTAATACCACCAATGATTTGTGCAGGTTTCTTCCAACCTGGACTAGAAGGATCTCCCACTTATCTAGAGTAATCCCAAGGCTGTAGAAACACATGAAGGTGTTCCTGCAGATGAGGAATCATATCTAAATAGACAATAAAATCAACCAGTGTCCAGGAATGCTCACTTTACCTCTCAGATCAACTAGAAGAATCAGAAGCCTACCTTTCCCTTGGAATGGTAGAGTATTCCCTTCACCAAGGAACTCCTCATTCTCATTCCACTTAGGCCTCAAGAACATACTAAACTAAAAAACAGGTCATTCAATAGCTTTAAAAAGTCAAATCAGGGGGACAACTTTTAACAGCAGAAATCTGTTTAGCATGAAGAATATTAACTGTTTACTTCCTAGTGGCATTAGCCTTCTCACACAAAGGTATCTGGAAAAATAGCGTCCAAGAAACTTAAAAATTGAATAGAATGCTTTTCTAATTGGAAATGGCTTTGGATATGAGAGGGGAAAAAAGTTAAGGCTAGTTAGGCTCTCAGTCTTTAGACTCAGAATTGAAAGCAGTCACTGCTATAAAGTGGAAACAATATCCTCTAGTAGGTTGAAATTTACAAACCTAGTCACGAACATGCAATATATAGACTTAAAAACCAACCCTTCTCTCTGGAGACTGTCAGGAACAAGATTCTTGGAACTCAAATCTTGAGCTATTTTCCTTCTGGGTTAAGAGGATCTGACTTTGCTCAGAGACAAGGGAACACCAAAAATGGGATTCAAATCCAAGCCAACAACCCTCAGCAGCAAGAGTTTTTAAAAATTCCTCATTTCCCACAATTTGATATACTTTTTAGGCTTTTAAAACTTGCTCACCATGTACAACTTAGACATTTTCCCTCTGCCTTCTGATGAGAATAGGCCTTTTTCCTAGCAGGACTGTAGCCCGTATTGTAAAGGACTTATTGTGGTGTTCTAAACCATAAGAGGAACTAAAACGATTCTCTCAGGGGGAGTTGGTGGAGATTTTAAAAATATTAGGGACTGAAACGTTAAACAACTCTTGATTCACTTCCTGGATTGGTACTGTGACAGGAAATCTTACAGAGCTGGCTGGATACACTAATCCACACACTGACTGACCTTCTATAACACTGTAAACCAGAGTGGATTCGATGGTGGAGAGCCTGGGTTGAGAGTATCCTTTGGTTCTTAACAGCTTCTTACCAACTTAACAGCTTCTTACCAACTTCCTTTGATGACTGTTGAGCTCAAACCCACTTACCTCTCCTGTCAGGAGGAGTCAGGGTACATGAAGCTCAACTCCTGATGACTTCATACTACCATACAATTTTACTTCAAAAAAATAAAATGAAAAAAAAAAAATCACACCCTTAAGAATTCCCCTGACCCCATTTTTTAAAACTCTAGTTTCTAGCCTAGTGATTTCAAGCAGCTTTCCAAACCCTGAGAATTTTTGTTTTGGTAGTTTAGGAGTCTATAGCAATTCTAAGACAGAGAACCCATAAGATAAAATGAAGGAAAAATGTCCTTCCTTCATATGATTAGATATGCTCAGAGGGTACAGAAATTGTAAGTAAATGCAATGGAGCAAAAGTGGTATAGTAACAGGAAATATTTAATTTTCCAATCTCCACTTTCCATTTTTATAAACTGAAAGAAAAAATTTAATATATTACAAAATATCTGTACATAGACAAGGTATACCCGATGGGGGTTAAAAACAAGAGAGAGAAAGGAATACAGTGTCAGGAACCTATAAATCAAGGAGAAATGAGGTGGAAACTGACACTTCTGAAGCAACATTCTCTCTCAAAACCTGCTGGTAACCATTTTAGACTATACCTAAATAGCATATTATATATACACACACATACAAGTGGTTGGGTGATGTTTATGCATAATGCTAACGAAAGTCCTACATATAAATTTGTGCTAACTGCCCTGTATTAAACATATAGATCTGATGTCATTTGCAAACCCTTATCCCTATAGACAGATGAAGGGAAAAACTAAGGAAATTGCATCAAGCAAATTTGCTTTTAAAACCATACACACACAAAAAAATTGATCATGGTCAAACCAGTTTTGCCTCCTATTCATGATCAGAATCAGATTATCTGCTCAAAAATAAAAAAAAAAATTAATACTTAGTACTTCCAATGGTACGTGGTTTTCTGGAATTAGGTTTCTGATCTTCAGTCAGGCAGAAACTAAATCAAACTTTTTTTTTTTTGGTCTTTTTGAGACTGTCTCCCTGTAGTTCCAGCTACCCTGGAACTCAATATGTAGACCAGGCTGGCCTTTAACTCACAGAGATCCACCTGCCTCTGCTGGGATTAAAGGCATGTGCTACCACGCCTGGCTCTTGTGTCAAACTTTTACTGCCATAATGTTTATGGATAACAGCTGAAAAGTTACCAAATACCTTTTCTTCCTCCACACAGATTCCAGGATATTTAAGAGCTTTTTTTCCCTCTGCTTTCAGAAGTAGTTAAAATTATAAAAAATTTTTAAAGGTTAGATTCCCAAAATGGGGGTGGGGGTGAAATGGGATCATACGTACACATACACACACTCACACATACACTCACCCCCTTCCTGAGCAGGGATGAGGAAATGAATGCTTACGTAGACTATTTGGCGTAATTAAAAATATAGTGTGGCAGAGGGGAAGGGAAAAATTACCGATGACTGTTGATAACCAAAATACAATGAAAATAGAGAATTTTATTCATATTTGATGGGAAAACGATTCTTTTTCACTGAAGAGATACTTTTGAAAAGTATCCCGGCTCAGCTTCTTTAATCAAAAATAGGGAACTAGGGGGTTCAATACCTCAAATTCAAATATTCTAAAACACAAAAGGCCCACATCTGTGGACTAGTAAGTCAACAAACTGAAGGTATAGATGAATTTTAATGCAGTTTGTTGATACCATGTCAGTGTGCCTAGTAAATCTAACAGGATACCCTGGTATAAAAAGCTACCAAAGTCAAATGCCTAGAAGGTTCACTTACTATTAATGTTGGGCCCTACAGCAAGGCCAGACCAAAACCAGAGAATAAATACACACACTGGTATCTATTTCAGTAACCGGGAAGTATTTATGTATCTGAAGAGGGTTCCTTTTGCCCTTTTAAAAAATTTTAAATCAATACATCTTTCTAAATATATTTTATTTTTAACTTAAGAATTTGGTATTGAAACATGAAATTTCACTAGTTTTGAAAGCTATTCTCAAAGATGCTGAAGCATGTTTGCCTTTCTTTGTAAAAGGGGGTTTTTAATAACTACATTTCACAAATGCCTGTCTGTGCAGATCAATTATATGACATGTTATCTGTTTTAAAACACTCCATATGCTGGTTCTCGGAAATGTAAGGCCACCCAAGTTACTCCACTACGAAAGCCTTTCTCTTTTCCATTTCCTGTTTAAGATAAGGCAAAGTTCTTGCCAGGAAGTCATACTGTACATCCTTTTACCACAACCAAAACCAAAACCATCTCTCTCAGGAGGAAAATCCCTACAAGAAATGGTAGGATATAACATGCTGAGATGTATATATTATCAATATATATCAATACTGTTCTTCATGGCATCCTGCTTTAAAGTTTTTTTTAAGGTAAAATATCACCCTAAACTAAGTTACATTTCCATGTATTTTTAGGAATCTTTTTCCTCTGACCATACTGCAATTGTTTGATTTTTTCAATATACATAAAAATATATGTGTAAACAATATGCTTACTGCTCTTATTAGCCCTCTAAGTATGGAGGTATAATTTCTAATCACAGCTTAGCAGCAATGTCCTATGCTGTCCATTTACAGATCAACTTCCCCATCAGAACATGGCTTAAAATTTTTCAGAATTGAAGAGTTACAGAGAACAATGTAGGAGTTTGAATTTCCTTTCCTTTATTTAAAAAAAAAAAAAAAAAAAAAAAAAAAACTTATTCCAGGTCTTGGGCATCTCAACTAAATTTTTTTTTCCAAACAAATGCCTCAAAAAGATATAAGGAGAAAATAGGGGTGGGGCACAAAAAGAGGAGGGGACAGAAGGTAGGGGGAAAGAGGGAAAAGGGGGAGGGGAGTAAACAAAAAGCAGAGGTTGGGTAAAGTCTACCTACCTGCCCAAGAATGCCACTTTCAACACACTGCTTTGTATGCAGGAAGAGGGGCATAACTATTTTCAAAACTGAGAAAGCTTTAAGGATGAGTAATTTATTTGGAAAAAAGATACGTTCAAGATGCTCAACAGGGGCAAGGGGAGTGCTCACTTAAGCAAAAATGTGAGATGGTAGAGAGGAAGGAAACATTTACGTCAACCAGGCCACTGTTTTTCTAGCAAAAGCCTACTAAAACGAACTCAGATTTTGTGAACGCTGTCCTCTTTAAAGGGAGAAGAATCTAAACTAAAATTCAAAAGAAAGAAACCACACATACATACAAAAAAAAAAAAAATTAAAAAACCTCTCCTGAGCCATCTCAAAATGGAAACTATACTCTTTTCTGCTCAAATGCAGGCAATAAGCTAATGCAACAATTAACTTTTCAATTGAATGTCTCTCTCCATATCTCCTAAGTAGAGCTGAAGTAAATGTTCTGGCTGTTGCCCATCCAGGAGGAACTGGTGCCAACATCATTTTAAGTTGCCTGCTCATAGCAAGAGAGCAAGGAAAACAACAGTTTTGCTGTAGCCAAATGTAGACGATTACCTCGCTCTGGCAAATGATTTCATTAAAGGTTCAAAGGACTGGATAGAAAGATGGACAGGGAAGGAATCTATCAGGACACTGAAGTCTCTGGGTTAGTAAGGAACTCCTCTACCTCTTCCCCCTCGTGGTGGGACTCTTGCAGCCCCCCGGTAGAGTTTTCCATAAGCAGATGATTGAGTTGGGGCACCCCACTGAAGGGTTGCTCCTGAGCTGCTGGTCCCAGTGGTTCCTGGTCCCAGCTCCCCATAGTTTTGTAATTTGGTCTCTGCATGTACCACAGAGTTGCTGTTTCCCTCAGACTTCAGAAATGGTTGCCCAACCACTGAATGTAATGTTAAGGGGACCCTGGCAAAACGGAGGTCCTGATCCCCCGGGAACTGCACTGACCCTGTGCCCTGGTAACTGCTGGACTCCCCAAGGTGGCTCACAGAGCCTGAGAAGGTCCTGTTCTTCACCAGGGTCTGGACCAAAGATTCTGTCAAGGCTGGACCAGAGCTGCGTTCATCAGTGTCAGTGGCACTGAACCCTGTTTCAGGCCCATCAGTGTTTCCGTAAGTCCTGTTTGGATGGGATCGGGTGGAGTATTCCATTGGTCTCAAGGCCTGGTGCTCATGTGGCAGGTGGCCAGGAGGCTCTGCTTCAGGCTGGGATAAAAGTTGCAGCAAGGCGGCTGTCACGGCGGGGTTCAACTCCTGGGGGGCGCTGGAAAGATCGCCTTCAACCAGAGGGGGTGGAGGTGGCGGCGGTGGAGGTCCAGGGGGTTCAGGGGGCCTCTTCTCTGGTGGAAGAATGTGAGGAGGACATGCTGTGGAAGGGTTACTTTTTTTAAACACCATCTTAAAAACCACATGTGATTATAAACAGAAACACTCACACACTGCCCAACATAAATAAATATCAATACAAGTAACCAGATACGTAAATAATAAAATCTTGGGAGCAGGAAATTGCAAATTTATAAATAAAACGAAGTGATTAAGTATAACAGTTGCATTCTGGATCTAACAGCTGGTATAAAAAGATCTTATGTTTCAAATGATTGACCTTATTATTTTTTTTTTTGTCTGAGATTTTCCTCCATTTCCTTCCTTAAAGAACTGTTCTAAGATGTAGACTGTTAGCAACCTTCCCACCCCTTTTGTTGTTAGATCAAAACATTATTGAAAATAAAGCAGAAAGAAGGAAGATGAGAGGGAACAATATACACGCTGTGGTCACATTTCTAGGACGTAATCTTTCTGTACAATAGAGACCTTGCAGACTTGGCTAACACATTTACAGAATGCTTGATGATATAAAGTTAACCTGAAATACAACTTAAATATACAGGAGAGATGCAATCAAGAAAAACTTCTCATTCTAATCATGTATAAAAATACACTTGTTTCTCCAACTTTAGTTATTTCTTCCCTTAATCATCTTCTCAAGGAAGGGATATTAACCACCCTACTGTCATTCAGCTTCCTATGTAAGAGTAATTATAAAGATCAAAGTAATCCTATTGTAATTTCCTATTTTGTTTTCTTACCCTCTGCATTTTTTTCATGCTATGAAAAAATCATTCTAACAGTGTCATGCAGAACCGAACTGCTGATAAATGTGTTACTCTTGTATCGAAAATCTATTTAGGGATGTACTGAATCATTATAAAGTTCTCTTTCTTGAACTACCCAAACGTTTTTGCTTTTTTCCATTTTTGTCAACATTTACCATTATTTGTCTGACAGTGAACTCCTCCAAGGCAGGAAAGGAGAGAGAAAATGGCATGAGTTTGAGGATATACAAAACTATTGCAACAGAAGGACGCTGAGTAGTGTGCCTTTAGAGAACTGAGAGTCAACCTGCTAAAGAAAAGGTTTAATGTTTTGGTCATATCTTCCAAATGACAAATTTTTCTTTTCCCTATTGAAACATATCTAAAAGCATCTATATAGCCATTCTCCTGTTATGTTAGCTAGTAATGTAAAGCCATTACTTAAACAAGCTGAAAGTAGTTTTAGGTTATAATTAGGTATTTCTATAGTATACTTATAGTATTGATTATACTTTGTAAAGACAATCAGTAATTAAGTTTGCATTCCCTAAGTGTAAATGAAAGCACTCTGAAAACATTACAAAATTTTAAGATTATGAAGAGTAAAGATGAGGTCAGGTGCCATATGAAACTAATAGAATAAATAGTCTAAGACTTTCTGATATAGGGATGGGGCAGTGGGGAATAGAAGGAGGCAGAGTGAAAACTTTCAGTTTTGGTAAAAAGAATAGTACAGGGATGTGCTGGTCACTTTGTATGACATTTCCAGCAAGTTACTTGTTGCCTGGCTGGCAGGGGAAAATTGAATTTAAGGCCAAAAAAAAAAAAAAAAAAAAGCCATGAAAATTCAAAATTTAGAAAAGAGATAACCTGAAAAGGACAGACTATGACCACGCACTGTTTCAGAACCTTTTGCTGGCAAACACTATCTTTCTATATAAAGACATTTAGTATCAGTCACACTTAAAAAAATTTTGAGCCTACTCATGAAATGACACATCATGTATTTTAATACTGGGGGGGGGGATAAAATGCATCACTGTGAAAGTAGGCAATCTAAATTTGCATTCCTCTAGCTACATACAGTATTTTTCATATTTAGATTTTCCTTATAAACAGCCTAATTTTGTTTCAGTATAACTAATTCTTAGGCTCAAATTCTTTCACATGAGTAAAATAAAAATGTTACTCCAAAGTAGTAAAGCAGATGGATTATAAAGAACTATTAAAATTAATAAAATTTCTTAAAAAATTAAAAATAAAAATATACATTGCAAATCATACTGTCCCAAGATTTAGAGTTAATGTTGTCAACCTGTAATAGTTTAGTACTAACAGAGGGAGGAGGGTGTACATAAATAAATAAATAACTAAACATTTCTTTTGATTCATTAGAGTTCAACCATTACCCTTTTTTAAAACAAGTACAAAATAACTAAACTGCAAATAAGATTGTTATCTCCTCTGGTTTATAGTCTGCCCTCTGGTGGAAGTGCTAATGAACAGTGAAATGGCCAAGTAAGAGGCACCAGGGTGTGGTGACACAAATTTGTAAATTCAGCACTGGTAAGGCACAGCCAGAAGGACATTGAGGTTTGAGGTCAGTTTGAGCTATATAACACAGAGACAGTATGGAGATATATAAACTAGACACCCTGGATAGAACAGTTGTAGCTTTTTTTTTTTTTTTGGGCATTCATCTTTAGTTGTGGCACTTTTACAGTCACTTCTGAAAAGTATATATACTTTCTAGCTATAATCTATGACTTAGTTTCAGTTCAATTTCATTATAATCTGATAGGTCAGAATCTAAGGCAGGAGACAAAAAAGCCTGCTTTAATTCTAGAAAGCTTTTTGGTACTCCATTTTGTATCTCCTAAAACAATCAGAATCTTCATGAGAGTAGCAAGCTGAATCAAGAAATACAAGCACATAAGTTCTAGTTTTGCCTCTGCCAATAATCAGCAAAGGAATCATAAACTTACTTAAATTTCTTAAGACTGAAGTTTTCATATCCACAAAGCTATGGGTTAATTTTATTGTCTTTTCACCTACAAAAAAACCCCTAATTTGTGTGTTTGACCCTATACCAGTGAAAATAAAGTTTTGTCTTTTCTGCACCAACCCAGATGAAATGTGAATGCAGGACCCTAAAGTTGAACATTAGTACACCTCTTCAGCCCTTGTGCCTCTTCTTATTCCCCCAATTCATGAGATCTTCAGGACAGTGAAAATTCCCAAGGAGTTGAAAACAATTTCAGATAAGTTAGATTTTGCAAACATTGTGAATCAGAATTGATTTGAGAACTTACATTTCTTTTCCATCTAATAAAATGCAAGATGTGGTCACTGGTCATGTGATATGAAGTATAACACACTTTTTTTTGAGGATTTTTTTTTTTCCTTTTTATAATGCTTTACTAATTCCACAGTCTCTCAGAAACAGATTTAAAAGAACCACTTTTATATGCTATTATTCTTTGGAAAGAAAATGTAAGGTGTTATCTGCTTAGAACAATTCCCAAATTATTTTCAGGAAATTGAAATGACATTTTATTAGGGTTTTCTTGATTGTATCTTCCGGACAAGACTCTGGTATCCAGCATTCACGCCACTAGATATAAAGAACAATTTGATAATGTTTATTTCAAAGTCAGATTCTTCTAGCACTAGCTAACTATCACATCTACAGAGTGGTTCAAGATACATGACTACCTATGGCTTTGGTTTCCTTGGTTAGAACACCAGGACTTTACTTACCAACATCTTAAGAAGTGGAAAAATTTTATGAAAGGTGCTTTGAGACTTAAAGAAGCTGGACAAGAAATACATCACTTGGTGCTTGCTATGTTCTCCTGTAGACTACGTTACAGATAAACTGAAACTGACTCCAATGATGTGAAAAAGAGTATGTTAAGAGATTTTAAGAGGATCAACAGCACCTGAGCTCAATGAGATTCATGACCGGTCTGTTTACCTGCTGCCTCCTCCTGTGGCATTGTGGGAGTTCTTCGGGGCCCCTGTGGCCCACTATTCTTGTCACTGGTGTTTTCCTCCAGGTTACCTCCTGGCTCCTGGGTTTTCATCAGCTGACTCAAGATAACTGCCAACATACTCTGCATGTCAGCTGGTGTATTTGAAGCTTCAGGAGTTATTTGTTCTGCTGAAGGCAGGACCACTGGTACAGAGGGTACCTCCTTCAATGATTCCTCTGGGGCTATGGATTCTGAATCCTGCTGCTGGGAAGTGGCTTCTGTCAGTGCACTAATAGATTGGTTCAGTGCTTCCAGCTGCTGTTGCATCTCTGGGTTGGAGTGGATATTAAGCAGCTGTGCCATTTGAGGGATGCTCAAATCAGTTTGGCTCTGTAGCAGGTTTAATAACACTGCCAATTCACTTTGATTCAACTGCTGTGTGATGTCACTGAGGCCTGTAGGAAGAAGGTGGAGCTAACATGAGAATAGGTAAGACAGGGACTTTTGTGTTCCTCAATAGACAAAAGCAATTTATAATATTCAAAGACTGAGCCAGGTGTGCCTTTAATCCCAGTGCAGCAGCAGGAAGATCTCTGTGAGTTCCAGGCCAGGGTCTACTTATTGAGTTCCAGGACAGCTGTGGATACAGAGAGACCCTGTCTCAAAAAAACAAAAAAACAAAAAGGGAACTGATAGGACAGGCTTTAAAAAAATCAGGGGCCATGGGGCTGGAGAGATGGCTCAGTAGTTAAGAGCACTGACTGCTCTTGCAGAGAACCCGGGTTCGATTCCCAGTACCCACATGGCGGCTACAAACCGTCCTTAACTCCAGTTCCAGGCGAATCCGAAGCTCTCTTCTGACCTCCGCGGCATACATGGGTGCACTCACATACATGCAAACAATACACTCATACACATTAAAAACAAAAACAAAAACAAAAACAAAAAACAGGGACCTAATGCCTCATGCCTAGAAATATGGTTGTTCAAGGGTTATGTATTTACTTATTTTTGATAGAATCTCAGGTAGCCCAGGCTGGCATCAAGCTTGACATATAGTGGAAGATGACCCTGAACTTCTAATACTCCAGACTCTTACTTCTTCAGCGCTGGGATTATATACATTCGCCACTGTACCTGGTCTGAGAGTATTTTTAAAGATTTATATAGCCAGTGTTGAAAATAACTGTTGTAGGTGAGCAAAAAAGGGAGAGCTGAAAAAGATCTGCAGCTTAAAAAAAGAAAAAGGTGGTACTATAGGAGAAATATTTTGCTATAAGGTTTAATATGACAGTTTAGAGCAAATAAGTCTACAGACCCAATCATGCTTACAATTATAATTGGATTTTTCTAAAGCCTTATCTAATCTAACATCAATAGGGCTCTAAATTATTGCTAGCCATGGATGAACTAACTTTAAATTTTGCTTATTTAACTGACTGATTTCTGCCACACACTCTAAATGAAGTATAATTATTATTATTGTTTTGCTTTTTTTTTGAGACAGTCTCCTTGTAGCCCCAGTTGGCCTGGAACTCACAGAGCTCCGCCTACATCTGCCTCCCACATGCTGGGATTAAAGGCATGCACCACCATACCTGGCTATAATATAGCAGTTCTTATTTTGAGGAAGGAAAATATTCTATTGTACTTTTTGAACTATGTGCATAAGACATGGTTCCTTTTCCTCAAAAATGAGGACATCAAACTTCTTTTGTAATGCTTCACTGGACAAAAACTAAAACACATAGACATTTAAGCAGAAAGACCAAATCTTGGCACTGACCTACTGCATCCCCAGCCCCAGGCTCCACCTTGACAGGAGCAGGCTGAGGTGGTGCCGGACTATTGTTCTTCACAGGCTCAGCTGTGGTCCCTGAGGTAGTTTCTTTTCTAGAAGCTTTGGATGGAGGTGGCTCTTCTGTTGGAACACCACTTTGCCGCTGCCGTCGACGTTTCTTACTCCACAACTCATGGCAATCCTGCCAGTGAGGTAGGCTGGAAAAACACAAAGCAAAAGGGGAATATAGTAGTGAGTGAATGGAAGGATAAGAAATTAAAATAGGAAAATAAAAAGAAACATGATAGTATTAAAAAACAAACAAACAAACAAACAAAAAGAATGGTACGTGTTACTCTGAGGAAAAAAGGTCCGCAAGATTTATGCAGTAAGAAATGAGGACTGGGGCTAGAGAGATGGCTCAGCAGTTAAGAGCACTGGCTACTCTTGCAGAAGACCTGGGTTCTATTCCCAGCACCCACATGACAGCTAATAACCGTCCTAACTCCAGTTCCAGGGGATCCAAGGCCCTCTCTTCTGACCTCCAAGGGAACTGCACAACACAGGTACACTTACACACATGTAGACAATACACTCATAAACATAAAAATAAAATGTTAGAAATGAGAACCTCAACTCTCATATAATCAAATATTGTCTTAGCATAACAAGAATAAGGAGAACTTGGCCAAGTCACGCATAGGATAAATAAAAACAAAGTGATAAATGGCTAATCAATAGCTAAAGAAAATATACTAAAGGGGCTGGAGAGATGGCTCAGCAGGTAACGGTGCTTACCACTAAGCTTGACAACCTGAGTTCAATCCCAGAACCCTATGTTGGACAGAACCAACTCCTGCAACTTGTCCTCTGACTTCCACACCCAACGTGGTAAGTGCATGACCAGACAAGCAGGTGCGCACCGCACACACACACACACCACACAAACAATAAATAACTAAATGTAAAACAAACAAACAAGCCTAGAAAAGAGGGTGATTCAAATCTTGGATCCAGCCAGGCATGGTGGCACATGCCTTAATCCCAGCACCTAAGAGGCAGAGGCAGGCATATGTCTGTGAGATCCAGGACAGCTTGGTCTACATAGTGAGTTCTAGACCTGTTGGGGCTCCAGGGAGACCCTGTCTAAAAAAATAAAAAGACAAAAACAAAAATGAAAATGTATCTAAAAAATATGACATGACACTAGGCCTGGAGACACAGGCCTATAATCTTAGCTACATGGGAGGCTGAGGCAGGAAGACCCTAAGTTCAAGGCCAGTCAGGGCAACAGGGTAAGCTCAAGTTCAAGCTGAATGACTCTGTGAAACACTGTCTCAAAAAAAGTAATGAGGGTTGGAGATATACTTCACTGATAGAGCACTTGACTAACACGTGCTAGAGTCTTGGTTCAATCCACAGTATTGCCTCCTGGCTTCTACCACACCCGCAAATCTGACATGAAAGCTATTATAATGCCAGTTTAGTTCAGAAATAAAAGATCTTCTATGTGCCAAAATGTTGGATGTGAGTATAGAGCATTTGAAGATCAATAGGGTAAAGGAAATTCATAAAAATTTTGATGAACGAGGGCCATCGAGATGGCTCAAGAGGGTAAAGCCCTGGCTGCATAAACCTTATTAACATGAGTTTGATTCCAGGATATATAAAGGTAGAAGGAAAAATGAGTCCCCAAAATTTTCCTGACCTTTACAAAAATGCTGTGGCATGCACATGAACATGCATACACAGACACACACAAATAAATGTTAAGAGAAATTTTAAAAATAGATTGAGACACAAGGACTATTTTTTTACATAAAAATTCAGTGACCTGACAACAATGTAAATTATTGTAAACTTGAAATGTATTTGCAAGTATGAGAAATATACAGTCCCAACACAGATATTCAAACAGAAATAAATGGTTAAAAGCAAAAACTAGAATGAATATTTTCAAGGACACTGTTTAATACAACAAACTAGGGACCCAAAGATAAAGGAAAATAGCCTGAATCAAATTAGAACAAATTATCATGGCGAAATCTATTTATTTAAAATATCTGCCCTTACCCACAGTAACACTCAAGGACCCTTTCCACTGGGACTGATACAACCACTATCATTTCTTTTGATAAATCTTTTTCTTAGTATCTCATCTCCTGAGGCCTAGAGCAAGTTTGGAGCTACTACACACAGCTACCAGACTTACTCTGGAGGTGCCATTTTGCTGAGTTCCACATCTTTTAGGAAGTCACTTTGCAGGGTCTGTTCAGCTGTGCAACGCTTGCTAGGATCAAGTGTCAGCATGTGGTCCAATAAATCAAGTGCTGCTGAAGGAATGCTGTAGAAAGGAAGGAAAAACCAAAAATTCATAATGATCCCATAGGTCTCAAACTTGTGTCAATGTTATCTGAATTTCCATCTCCATGTAAAACTGAACAAAGGGATTTGGAAGTTGGATAATGCAAGTAGATCTGGTCACACTTATAATTTAGTTTTAATTTAATTTAAATTTTAATTATGTGTTTTGTCTGCAAGAGAGTAAGTGGATCCATGCATACATTGTCTGCTGAGGCCAGAAGAGGACGTTGGATCACCCAGAACTAGAGTTAAGGGACAGTTAGTCACTATGTGGGTGCTGAGAACTGAACCTGGGTCTTCTGGAAGAGCAGGCACTGATCTTAACCACTCAGCCATCTCTCCAGCCCCCACACTTAGATTTAAGAAATCCTATGCCAGGCGTGGTGGCACACACCTTTAATCCTACCATTCGGGAGGCAGAGGCAGGTGGATCTCTGTGAGTTCGAGGCCAGCCTGATCTACATAGTGAGTTCCAGGCCAAATGGGGCTACTGGGAGATCCTGTCTCAAAAAGACCAAAAAAAAAAAGAAATCCTATGATATACGTAAAAACTATGAAGCCAATAGTTCTGTTCTCTTTCTCCTTAAGAAGATGAAAAAGATAATTAAGAAATTCCACATACTGTTAAAAACGTTTTCTACTGTCCAAAGCCTTCAGAGGAGAAAATTACAAACAAGATCTGATAAAACACATAAATTTTTTTTTGTCTTTTTGAGATAGGGTCTCCCTGTAGCCTCAGCTTTGTAGACCACGCTGGTCTTGAACTCTCAGAGATCCGCCTGCCTCTGCCTTCTGAGTGCTGGGATTAAAGGCCTACACCACCACACTCTGCAAAACACATAAATTATTTAAAAATAAAATGGGCAGGTGAGAAACACCAAATCCCTAGACCAGGAAAAAGTCAAGTCCCAAGAGAAGAGATATATATTTCTGCCAAACTCACAAAGAGAATTCTTCTCGAAGGCGCCTTCTATATTGCTTCTTCGGTTTCATGTTATTGAAGTAGGGCAGCTTGATAACATCAGGCCACACTGCTGGACAAGGACTACCACAGAGACGGCTGAAAAAAAAAAAAGCAAAACCAAGAGTAACAAAGTCAGTATCATGACTTCTGGAGGTTCTTGAAAAGAAATTACCTTCTCCAGTTTGAGGAATCTTTGATTATTACATATTATGGAGTACAGAAAAAGTAAAACATGATCTACTATTGTTTTAAGAATAAAAGAAGTATGACAGAAGTTACTGGTTAAAAGAAAGCAAGAAGTCAGTCATGATGGCATTTTTTTTTTTTTTTTTGGTTTTTTTAAGAAAGGGTCTCCCTGTAGCCCCAGCTGTCCTGGAACTCACTATGTAGACCAGGCTGGCCTCGAACTCACAGAGATCCGCCTGCCTCTCTCTGCCTCCCGAGTGCTGGGATTAAAGGCGTGCGCCACCATGCCTGGCATGATGGCACTTTTAATCCCAACATTCTGGAGGTAGAGAGAGGTACAGCTCTGTGAAATGAAGGCCAGCCTGGTCTAAAGAGCAAGTTGCAGGTCATCTAGGGCTACAGGAAGACCCTACCTAAGAAACCCAAAACCCAACCACCCACCCCCTAGAAAAAAAGAAAAAAGTATAATAAAATAAGCCCAAATCTGATACTAATCAAGACTGTCCTCAAATCATCTATTGCAGGTTGTATTTTAAGGGCTGGGGAGATGACTTAGCAGTTAAGAGCACTGGCTGCTCATGCAGAGGTTCAATTCCCAGCACCCACATGGTAGAGAACAACTGTCTGTAACTCCAGTTCCATAGGAATCCAACGCCTTCTTCTGACCCACTTGGGCACTGCACAGCACAGGTGCACTTATACACATGCAGGAAATACACTCATACACATTCACATACACACACACAAAATTTTTTAAATTAGGGCTGGATAAAAATGACTCAATGTATTAAGGCATGTTTCACCAAGCCTGAGGACCTGATTTCAATTCCTGGGACTCACATAGTAGACAGAACACACACATTACCACATGTAACACAATAATTAAGTGGTTCTAAGTTCTTTGAAGGCAAGCTTGATTTCCCTAAGTTTAACAGTAAAAGTAATCTGTTGTAGTAGGTTCAATAATTTTTTTTCCTTTTTCTTTTTTTTTTTTTTTTTTTTTTTATTTTATAGACAGGGTCTCCTTGTAGTCCTAATTGTCCTAGACCTCCCTATGTAGACCAGTTGGCCTCAAACTCACAGATATATGCCTGACTCAGGCTCCCGAATGCTTGGATTAAAGGTGTACGCCACCATGCCAAGTGGTTAATAAATTTTTACAGAGTAAGTTTAATGTTTTTCTTTTCTTTTGTGGTGTTGTTGGAGATTGAAATCAAGGCCTTGGGCATGATAAAATCTTTTTTTTTGTTTGTTTTTTTTTGGTCTTTTTTTGAAGCAGGGTCTCCCCGTAAGCCCCAGGTGTCTTGGAACTCACTATGTAGACCAGGCTGGCCTTGAACTCAGAGAGATCTGCCTGTCTCTATCTCCCAAGTGCTAGGACTACAGGGATGCACCACCACGCCCAGCTTTTTTGTCTTTTTGAAGCAGGGTCTCCCTGTAGCAGCAGCTGTCCTGGAACTCACTATGTAGACCAGGCTGGCCTTGAACTCACAGAAATCTGCCTGCCTCTGCCTCCCCAGTGCTGGGATTAAAGGCATGCGGCACCATGCCCGGCCCCACAACTTTTTTTTCATTGAATATTTTTATTTATTATTTTATGCATGTATAAGTGCAACCATGTTGTACAATGCCCTCAGAGATCAGAAAAGGGCATCAGATCCCTTGGAACTGGTTATAGTTGTTAGCCACCATGTGGGTTTTGGGAACCGAACCTAGGTCCTCTGCAAGAGCAGCCAATGCTCTTAACCGCTGAACCATCTATTTCCCCACCTTGTTTTTTGAGACAGAGTTTCTCACTTGGCCTGAAACCTGCTGAATAAGCTAGGCTGGTCAGCCAGAGAGTGCCAAGATCTACCTGTTTCTGCCTCCCCAGCACTGGGATTACAAGCATGCACCACCATACCTAGCTTTTTGTATACAAGTTCTGGAGATCAAACTCAGCTCATCATGATTGCACAGTAAATGCTTTGCTGTGGCTGTATCCAGTCTTTATATTTTCTTTTGTTTTACAATTCCATATTATTTATTCGTTTTTTTGTGTGTTTATATGTATATTGTGGTGGGTGCACCTGATGGCACACAAGTGAAGGATCCTGAATATGGAACTCAGGCTGTCAGGCTTGGTGGCAAGTACTTCTACCTGCTAAGCCATCTCACTGGTCCATAGCAAGTTTAAATCACGTGAGGAGCTGAAGCTTCTCAGTTCTTTTTTCCAAGGTTGGTCTAAAAATCTTGAAAAAAATTATTTACATTCATTCATTTTTTTTTTTATATTTGTATGTGCACACATCCACATGTCATGGTGCACATGTGGAAGTCAGAAGACAACTGCAGAATTTAGTTGTCATCTTCAACCATGGAGTCCCAGACACTGAACTCAGGTCATTAGGCTTAAGAACCAGAACCTTGACCCTGCTGAGCCACCTAGCCACTTTTGATGTTTTAAATTTAATTTTATAACTTTTTATTTTTATAATTTAAAAAATTTATTGATTTGAAAATATTTTTATAATCATTAAAAAATTTAAACACGTGTGTGAGTATGCACACATGTATGTGGATACCCACAAAAGCCAGAAAAGGATGTTGGATCCCTTAGAGTTAGAGCTAAAGGAGTTTTTAGCCATTCAACATGGGTGCTGGGAATTAAACACGTCTTCTGCAAGAGCAGTATGTATCCTTAATTGCTGAGTCATCATCTCTACAGCGCACCCCTTCCCCCCACTGTCTATTCTTAAAAATGCAGGTCATGATCATGGGATGCGTAACTGAATGTTAGAGTCATAAAAGAGTCGGCAAGAGGGGCTGGAGAGATGGCTCAACGGTTAAGAGCACTGACTGCTCTTGCAGAGGACCCAGGCTCAATTCCCAGCACCCACATGGCAGCTACGAACCATCTTTAACTCCAGTTCCAGGGGAATCCGAAGCCCTCTTCTGACCTCCACAACATGGGTGCACGCACATACATGCAGGCAATACACTCATACACATAAAATGAAAAAAGAATAAATAAAATATTTTAAAAAAAAGTTGGCAAGAGCAAAACATTTCTCTAAAAAGTAAATGTGTGAGCCGGGTGTGGTGGTACATGCCTTTAGTTCCAGTACTCAGGAGGCAATGGCTGGTGATCTCCTTGAGATCAAGGCCAGCCTGGTGGTCTACATAGCGAGTGCAAGGCCAGCTGGGGCTACAGGGAGACCCTGTCCTAAAAAGACTAAAAAAGCAGCATAATAAATGAGTTGCTTCTGGCAGCATTCCCCCATGTTGCAATGTGTGCCTTCACTGAAGTCTTGGTTCTGAACACAGAACATGACAACTTTGCACTGTACTGTAATGGCACACAATGCAGATGAATGCCGTTGGAAATACCTCAACTAAGATTTGAGACTACCATGTTGTAAACAGCAGTGTTTTCACTGTACTAAGTTTTCTGTTCTGATATATAATGACTTAATTATGGGGAAAAAAAAAAAAGCTTTCACTATTTTCCTGCCATCATCGCTCAGCATTTAAGTATGAAATCAGTATAATTTTAGTTTGCGTTATGTTAGAATGTTTGATTTATAAAACTTGCTAGCTTGCCTGAGCTTCATAAACAAATAGCATAAAAAACATTAAATGAATTTCCATGGGAGTGGAGAGTGGCTCAGTGGTTAACAGTACTTGCTATTCTTCCAGAGGACCAGAATCTGGTTCAAGCACCCATAATGGGAGGTTCACAACTGCCAGTTCTGGGAGATCTAATACCCTCTGGCTTTGGAGGGCACCTGTACATGTGGCAGTTCGAGCGAAAAACACAGTATACCTGCCTCTGCTTCCCCAATGTTGGGATTAAAGGCACACATGAATACACCCTGCTTCTTTTAATTTTTGTCATTCAGTTATTCACTCATTAATTCATTCATTTGTTGCACTTTGGGTGTGTGTGTCACAGTGTGTCTCGAGGTCAGAGGACAACTTCTGAGTTGGTTCCTTCTACTATGGGTCCCAGGGATGGAAATCAAGTTGGCAGGCTGACCTCACATGAATATGCCCACACATAATTAAAATTAAAAAAAATTTTTTTTCGTCTTTTTGAGACAGGGTCTCCCTGTAGCCCCAGCTGTCCTGGAACTCACTAGGTAGACCAGGCTGGCCTTGAACTCACAGGGATCCACCTGCCTCTGCCTCCTAAGTGCTGGGACTACAGGTGTGCACCACCAAGCCCAGTTAAAGTAAAATTTTTAAAAAGATTTAATTTTTAATGTAAAAATAAAGAAGGTTATCTTTCTTATTAATATGGAAATTTGATAATTTAAAATTTTAATTAAATAATTTGTAAAATTGTATGTATACTAAATATCGTTTTAAAAAAACATTTCTGAGGCCAGACATGGGTTTAATCCCAGCACTCAGGAAGAGGAGGTGAATCCCTGTGAGATTGAGGCCAGTCTTGTCTACATTTCAAGTTTCAGGGTAGCTGTAGCTACAGGGAGACATTGTCTCAAGACCAACCCCTTCCCCCCAACAAAAAAAAAACCTGAAACAAATCCGGGTATGGTGGCACCAGCCTTTAATCCCACACTTGGGAGGCAGAGGCAGGTGGATCTCTCTGAGTTCGAGGCCAACCTGATCTACATAGAGTTCTAGGCCAACTGGGGCTACAGGGAGACCCTGTCTCAAAAGAGACCAAAAACAAAACAAAACCCACACAAAACATTTATGATTTATTATCAGTACATGTTTGATTTGTATACATATTATAAACCTTATATATGTGGTGTTATATAAAAATTTCTCAGGCAAAAAGAGGTTATGAGTGAGAAAAATTTAAGAAATCTTTATTTTTATCACACCTGGGCACTTAAGCACATGTGTAACTGTACCTGATCAATTCTAGCTGAGCCAGCTCCAAATTGGCTTGAAAAATAGGCTTCTTTGTGAACAGTTCCCCAAGGATGCAGCTAAAAAGAGAAGTAAAATTGAGAGGTTAGTAGAGAAGTCCCAAGAGCCTAGAGTTTGTCTCAATAAATTTTTGTAATATTGGGCTGCATCTAATATATTTATGTGGTATACTGATGTGGTAAACTAGCCCAGAATTTCAGTATCTGGGTTTCCTAAAAAAACGAACAAACAAACATTTCTTATAAGTGACAACAGGTTTTTTTTTTTTGGTCTTTTTGAGACAGGGTCTCCCTGTAGCCCCAGCTATCCTGGAACTCATGATGTAGACCAAGCTGGCCTTGAACTCAGATCTGCCTGCCTCTGCCTCCCAAGTGCTTGGGATTAAAGGTGTGCGCTACCATGCCCGGTTTAAAATGGTTTTATAAGAAGGTGCAGAAGTTTCTACAAAGAGATTATTAGTTTTGTCATTAATTTGCTCTGTATAAAACATAGTATACTAGTATACTTGGCACTATATTTACAAAAACAATGTATTTGTTACCAGTCAAGATCAGTTTCAACAAGAATTTCAAATAAACTCTGCTTAAACACCTTTGTTGATTTGAAATGGGCTTTTAGGACTGGGGACCTAAGTTTGAAATCCTAAAACCCAAGTAAAGCTGACTATGGCAGTGCATGCCTAGAGTCCCAATGTGCCTATGGTGAGATGGGAGGCAGAGACAAAAGAATTTCTGGAACCTCATGGGCCAGCTAGCCTGGCACAGCAGCAAACATCAACAAAAAAGAGACATGTGCCCTCACTCACACATGTATACACATTATATACACACATATCAAAATATTAGTAAAATAAAACAAAGGTTTAAAAAACAAAAAGGAGGGCTTGGAGAGATGGTTCAACAGCAAAGAGCACTGGCTGCTCTTGCAGGGGATGTGGGTTCAGTTCCCAGCACCCATATGGCAGCTAACAATCATCCATAACTCCAGTTCTAGATCTGAAGTCTTCCCTTCTGGCCTCCATAGGCACTGCACTTACACATATGCAGGCAAAACTCATATATATAAATTAAAATAAATTAATTTTAAAAAATTTAAAGGTGGGCTAGAGAGAAGGCTCAGCAGTTAAGAACATTGGTTGTTCTTACAGAAGACCCAGGTTCGAATCCCAGCACCCACATGGCAGCTAACAACTGTCTGTAACTCCAGTCCCAGGGGATCCAACAGCCTCTTCTGACCTCTGAGGGCACTGCATGACACGGGTGCACTCACCTACATGCAGGCAATACATGCATACACGTAAAATAAAAATAATAAAATATTAAAAAAAAAAAATTTAAAGGAGGGTTGGGGAGAAAACAGGGCAGCTTCCACTGGATGCCCCTATTTCTGGAGGAAGGTGCTGGCCTCAGCTGACAAGTCAGAGCAGGGAAAAGGGTAATTTCTGACACAAGAAGGAAAAGGAGGCAATGGGAAGCAGGAAACTGGGGGGCAGTGGTTGGGAGGAGGTTGGGGGTAGGAGGTGAGAGGCCTGTAGGGCAGGCACTCCTGTGTACATGCCCCCAAGTATCCCTGAGATTTCTGGCTCAATCTGAGTGTCCAGTTCAGCAAAAGGTAGGTTTCTACTCTGAACTCACTCCATTCAAGTTGTTAACTCAAGTTGTGAACCACCATTGGGTTGACAAAGCTAAAGGACATGGGGGTGTGCCTGACAGAGGACCCTCTCTACACACCCAGACCTGAGGCTGCTGAGGTCAGTCTGTTACTGCTATGCATAGGACTAACAGAATAAACTCATACTTCCCTTCCTAAAAAAAATTTTTTTTTGAAAAGGGGCTGATTCAGAGGTTAAAGTACTGGTTGCTCTTCCAGAGCACACAGGTTTATTTCCCAGCATCCACATGATGGCTAACAGCTGTCCATAATTCCAGGGTATACAAGGCCCTTTACTGTCCTTGCATACATGCAAGTGAAACATTCAGTACAAATCATTTTTTTTTTTTGGTCTTTTTCAGACAGGGTGTCCCTATAGCCCCAGCTGGCCTGGCACTCACTAGAAGACCAGGCTGTCCTTGAACTCACTGAGATCCACCTGCCTCTGCCTCCCAAATGCTGGGATTAAAAAAGTGCACCACCATGCCCAGCAAATAAAAAATTTTTTTACAAATTAAAACTAAACAAAACAAAACAAAATTCTAGGCCTGGTGGTGCATGCCTTTAATCCTAGCACTAGGGAGGCAGAGGCAGGCAGGATCTCTGAGTTTGAGGCCAGCATGGTCTACCTAGTGAGTTTCAGGACAGCTGAGGCTACAGGGAGACCCTGTCTCAAAAAAAAGAAAACAAAAATCCCTCCGCAATGAAAAGGGCTGTCAAAACTAAATGAACAATTTACATTGCTTCACGGGATCTCTCTATAAATGTAAAAGCAGTAACATTTTAGAAAGGAAAAACAACAGATTAAAATTGCAAATGTTGTGAAAGACCAAAAAAAAAAAAAAAAAGACTATAGAACTATTCTAGAATAAAGAAATTTTTGAAAAAAGACCAGGGCATAGCAAGATATCTCAATAGTTAAGAGCACTGGCTGCTCTTGCAGAGGACGTGGGTTTGATTCCCAGCACCCACATGGTGGCTAACAACCATCTGTAATTCCACTTCCAGAGGAATCTGACACTCTCTTCTGACCTCCATGGGCAATGCACTTACATACGTGCAGGCAATACACTCATACACCTAAAAGAAAAACTATAAATAAATTAGAAAGAGAGAGAGAGAGAGAGAGAGAGAGAGAGAGAGAGAGAGAGAAAGAAAGAAAAGAAGACCAGCAGCATGCAGTAATACATGCCTGTAATTGTAGCTACTTGGAAACTTTAGGTAGAAAGATCACTCCAGCCTATGAATTAAGAGACTAGACTACACAACAGCAGAGAAAACAAACAAACAAAAACAGGCTACTTTTTGGAATACAGATCATGCTGAATTGAATCCAAGAGATTATTTCTACAACATTATTAGCATACTGATATGGATACACCACCCTGCCCAGTTGTGTTAAATTCCTTGAATTTGTTAATTGTAGTATGACTATATAAAAGAGGACACTTTTGTTCATACAGATTATTTGCATACTTTTGGGGGGGTACTATTCTTGCAACTTCTCCTGAAGTTTGAAATTATTTCAAACAAATTTAAAGGATAATCCTATGTGAATACTCCATACATTTTTAGTCTTGACTATTTCTTAAAAAGGAAAAAAAAGAAGTGGGTGGAGGGACTGGAAGGATGGGTCAGTGGTCAAGAGCACTTGCTGTTCTTACAGAGAACCAGAGTTCAATTCCTAGCATCTGTAGGAGATCTGAAGCCTTATTCTAGCGTCTGAGAGAGTGTAGGCACGTATGCGAGAGCTCGAGCATACACCCACACAAACATGTACACAAATTTTATTATTTATATTTTCAAAAAAGTGGTGGAGGAACTAGGAGAATATGATCAAAATATACTGTGTGACATCCTCAAAGAATTAATAAACCCAACAAACAAACCAAAAAGAAATGAGCACCTTTCTATAGTCAAGTACAATTTTTAAATTTTTATATATATGTGTTTGTGCCTGTGAGTGCAGGTGCCCGCAGAGGTCAGATCCCATCAGGACCTTGGCATGAGCAATATATGTTTTAACTGCTAAACCATATCTCCAAACTCAATGTTAACATTTTTAACCTTAAATTGAATGTGACAATTTTTTTGAGACTCGTCTCTCTGTAGCCCCAAATGGTCTGGAATTCGCTATGTACATCAGCTAGCCTCCACCTCACAAGAGTTCTTCCTGCCTCTGTCTCCCAAATGCTAAGATTAAAGGCACATGCCACTACACTAAGCCTATAAGACTAAGTTTTGGGTTTTTTTTTTTTTAAATGTGTATGAGTATTTTGCCTGTATTGTTTATAAGTGCATCATGTGCACTCAGTTCCCACAGAGGCTAGAAGAGGGCATCTGTGCTGGATAGCTTTAGTGTCAACTTGATGCACCTGGGTTGAGGGAGCCTCAGCTGGGGAATTCCATTGGACTGGCCTGTGGCCAAGACTGTAGGGCATTTTCTTGATTGTTGAGTGATGTGGGAGGGCCCAGCACACTGTGGGTGGTGCCACCCCAAGCAGGTGAGCCCGTATTGCATAAGAAAGCAGGCTGAGCAGGGGCTAGGGGAGCAAGCCAATAAGCAGCTTTCTTCCATGGCCTGTGCTCTACTAGCTCCGGCCTCCAGGTTTCTGCCCTGAGTTCCTACCTTAGGCTCTCTGATGAACTGTGACCCAGGAGATGAAAGACAAATAAACCCTTTCCTCCCCAAGTGGGTATTGGTCAGAGTATTTTGTCATAGCAATGGAGAAAGTTGAACAGCATCTGATCTCCTGGAACTCAAGTTATGTAAGGTTGTCAGTCTTCATGTAGGAACAGAACGTGGGTCCTCTGCAAGAGTCAGCAAGTGCCATCTTTCTATGAGCTATCTTTCTAGCCTCAAGACAAATTTTCACTTCATACTTCACATATAATTTGCTATACTGTAGGTCTTTTAAATTTCTTCCCTGACTTGATTACTGGTTAACTAATTCTCTCAAACTTTAGACAGAGATGGAAAAACTAAATTTTAGTTGTTTCTAATATTAGCTTCTAAACATAGATATGTACCAAGTGAAATAGGAGAAAGGTAAAAAGAAAATCCAAGAAAAATAACTAGTTTCTTTATTTCCTTTTTGAGACATGGTCATTGAATTCTTTGTGTCACCTAGGAAGAACTTGAACTCTTACTCTTCTTGCCTCCACCTGCCAACTGCTTTCTTTACATTTAATTTCTTAGACTCATCTTTCTGTCTACCCTGATTTGTACACTTAAGTGGCTCAGCTTCTCCAGTGCTAGAATGCTAACATCTTGGCACTGTTTCTGTTTTCTTTATTTCTATTTCTAATCCTTTGGTGGGGAAGACATGATTAGTATATAGTTAACATTGTTTATTGCACTAAGATGACAAGCTGCACAGACTGAAAAGACAATAGAGATGAATTATGAGCTCTCGCCCCATGAATCTTGTTTTTGCTTTTGTTTTCTTTTTTGAGTCTGGGTCTCCAAAAGTCTAGGTTAGCCTCCAGGAAGATCTTGAACTCCTGTTCTTCCTCTTGGGCATGGTGGCACAGGCCTTTAATCCTAGCACTCAGGAGGCAGAGGCAGACAGATCTAAGAGTTTGAGGCCAGCCTGGTCTACATTGTGAGCTCTATACCAGCTGGGGCTATAGGGAGACCCTGACACAAAGAAAACCAAAGAAATATTCAACAGAAAATGTTAACTAATCTTTTAAACTTAAGAACTTCAAATAGCTAATACAGAGCTCAAATAGTACATGCTAACAGCATGTAAGTTACAGCCAAAGAGTTTAATGGGGCCTTACCCGCAGCTCCAAACATCAATGGCTGGTGTATAACGTTCCTCTCCCAACAGTAGTTCTGGAGGTCGGTACCAGAGAGTAATGACTTTGTTTGTATAAGGGCGACTGAAATGTAAAATCATCATGATGTAAATGTACAATGGCTTTTGATGATAAATACGTTAACTAAATGCAAACAGGAATACTTGACAACTGAAATTGTTAAAACAGTTCCAACAGCAAACAGTACAAAACTGAACTTGACAGAAGTCAAAGACTTCTATTCCAATTTGGGTTGAATTATTTCAGCTAAGAGCTGAATCAAGACTCCAGATAGGTGACTCTTTTTAGAGAGATGGCTCAGCAATTAAGAGCACTGGCTGCTCTTGCAGAGGACCCAGGTTTGATTCCTGGCACCAACATGGCGGCTAACAACCACCTATAACTGCAGTTCAAGAGATTGGACACTTTTTTCTGACCTCCAAGGGCACTGCACGACAGGGGTGCACCTACCTACATGCACATAAAAATTTTAAAAATCCAGACAGTATCTAAAATCTAGTTGGTAACAATTCCAAATAATTAGGGAACTCTGCTAGTTATTACAATTTATAAAATACCAAAATGTCAGAAAATAAAAAGGATTTTTCTCTAATTCCCACATGCAGTTTTGCTTGCTTGCTTTTTATATTAGAGGTGAAGCTCTATTATCTAAGCAGGACTTGAATTCTTAGACACAAGTGATCCTTCCTATATGCAGTTTTGTTGCTTTTCTTTAAACAGAGGGTCTCACTGTACAGCCCAGGCTGACTTGGAACTTGCTACATACACCAAGTGAACCTTAAACTCAGACATCTGCCTGCTTCTGCTTCCAAAGTGCTGGGATTCTAGGCATCTATCACCACGTCTAGCTCCATATGTAGTTTTGATGAATGCCTTACCTCTCTTCAGAGTTATAGAGCCGAGCAAGTCCAAAATCTGCTAGTTTGATCTGCCCACTGTAAAATAAGAAACAATTATTTTCATAAGTAACAGCAAAATACAGTTGGGAAATACCAATTAAAAAGGTAAGAGAATTGGGGCTGGAGAGATGGCCCAGTGGTCAAGAGCACTAGTTGCTCTTGCAGAGCAACTGGGTTGGGTTCCCACACCCACATGGTAGCTAACAAGAGTCTGTAATTCCAGTTCCAAGGGATCCAACACCCTCAGGCGCTGCACAATACGGGTGTACTTACATACATGCAGGCAATATACTCATACACATTTTAAAAAATAGAGAATTGCCGGGTGTGTTGGCGCATGCCTTTAATCCCAGCACTTGGGAGGGAGAGGCAGGCAGATGGATCTCTGTGAGGCCAGCTTGGTCTACAAAGGGAGTTCCAGGCCAGCTGGATCTACAGGGAGACCCTGTCTCAAAAAGACCCAAAAGACCCCAGCTGTCGTGAACTCACTATGTAGACCAGGCCGGCCTTGAACTCACAGATATCTACCTGCCTCTGCCTCCTGAGTGCTGGGGTTAAAGGCATGTGCCACCACGCCCAGCTTGAGTCTCCCATTCCTAGACTTGGTCTCCCATTCTCCAGTATCATCTAACTTCAGCCTCTCCTAACAGCTGGGACTATAGGAATGTGCCTCCCACTTTGGGCTGTAAATATTTATTTCTTTGTAGACATTAGTGCCTAGCATCTCCTAAAGTAACGCCTAATGATGAAACAAACAAAAACCAAAATTCAAAACAAAGGTCAGTTCTAAATTGATATTTAAAAGGCATAACAAAAATAATAGTAATTTTTAACCAATTTTGGCTTAAACAGCTACAAAAGACATGCTTAAAAAGATATAAAATATGGTCTGAATATTGGAATACACTAGGAAATAATCTTGTCAGAGTACTTTGAATGAAATACAATGAAGTCTGCAATTTACCTTAAAATAACTTGAGCAAAAAAAAAAAAGTGAAGTATGATAAAATACTCATTGTGTAGCCAGGCATGGTGATGCATGCCTTTACTCCTGATCTCTATGAGATCAAGACCAGCCTGGTATCGAGTGCCAGGCCAGCTGGGGCTATAGGGTAAGCCTGTGCAAACTTTTATAATGAATGGCCCCTTACACTATCACCTCATAGGAGATTTCAAACTTTCACCAGAAGAGCTTGTTAAGTAGAGTATGACAGTGCATGCCTGTAATCTTAACACTTAGAAGGCAGAGGCATGAGGATCTCATGTTCAATGCCAGCCTGAGCAACTTGGTGAAAGTCTGTCTCAAAGCACCAAAGGCTGGAGATGTAAATGAATGGGAGAAAGCATATAACCCTAAGGTCCTAAGTTAGATCTCTAGCACCACAAAAACAAACAAACAAACAAACAAACAAACCCCCCAAAGCTGCATATGTTTCATTCTCATAAATGCTAAGTCAATAAGTTCAGGAATCTGTACTTACCCTCCCCACCCCGGAGTACTAGGGACTGAATCCAAGGCCTCATACATACTAGGCAAATGTTCTACCACACTTACTCCTGAGTCTGTATTTCTTTTTTGTTTGCTTTTAAGACAGGGTCTCATTATATAGCTCTGGCTGGCCTGGAACTGCCTACATATATCAAGTTATCCTCAAACTCACAGAGTGGGGGGAGGAGCCTTTTTGAAACAGGGTCTCCCACCCAGTTGGCCTGGAACTCACTATGTACACCTGGATGGATTTGAACTCACAGAGATCCACCTGCCGCTGCCTCCCAAGCGCTGAGACTATAGGCATGCGCCAACACACCCAGTTGTCTTTTTCTTTTTTTTTGAGACAGGCTCTCCCCATGTAGCTCCGGCTGGCCTCAGAACTCAGAGATCCACCTGCCTCTGCCTCCCAAGTGCTAGAATTAAAGGCACCACCCCTGCACCCAGCAAAAATAAATCTTAAAACAAACCTTCAACTTTGATAGAATTTTGAATCACAGAAAACAGCGGTTACTTTTTTTTGTGTGTGTGTGTCTTTTTGAAGTGGGGTCTCCCTGTAGCCCCAGCTGTCCTAGAACTCACTGTGTAGGCCAGGTTGGCCATGAATTCACAAAGATCCGCCTGCCTCTGGCTCACAAGTGCTGGGATTAAAGGCGTACACCACCACGCTCAGCTATGGACTAATCTTTTAACATCATGTTTTGCCTCTTAATAAAGGTATTTAAGTATAATTTTAAATAGTATGTTACTTAGACATTTAAAATAAAGATTAAACAGAACCAGCATCCTTAAATGGCCCCCTGTAAACTACAGATAAAGTTTACGCTCTAATATATAAGAAGCCAGGCGTGGTAACACATGCCTTTCATTCCAGCACTTGGGTGGCAATGATAGGCCAATTTTTGTGAGTTCTAGGCCAGATGGGGCTACAGGGAAACCCTGTCTCAAATAAATAAATAAAAAAATAAACAAACAAATAAATGTATATAAGATATTAAAATGGTTCCTAATAATGATTCAGCTTAATTTTCCATAATTAATGATGTTTACAATTTTCCAAACATAACAAACTATTTACTTTTTCTTTTCTTTGCATTTTTTGACTTATTTATTTTTGGTCTTTTTTGTGACAGGGTCTTCCTGTAGCCCAAGCTCACTAGATAAACCAGGCTGGCTTTAAACTCACAGAGTTTTCATGTTTATATACTTTTGTACATGCAATTTCTTCTACATAAAAATTTGGTTCACACCTTTAATCCCAACACTTGGTTCAAGGCCAGTCTGGTCTACATAGTGAGTTCCAGGCCAGCTGGAGCTACAGAGAGAACCTGTCTCAAAAAAAGACACCCCCCCCCCCAAAAAAAAGCTGGTTCCTTATTGTCAGCCTGATAAATTTCTATTGATTCCTCAAAGCTGCATCTTTCCTTTCCAGGTACTTCCAAATTAAAAAACAAACAAGGCTTTAATGAATGCTTATAATGAATGCTTATGATAGGCAGAGATGGCACAGACCTATAATCCCAGCACTCAGGAGGCTGAAGCAGAAGAATCATCCTAAATTCAAAGTCAGCACGAGCTACATATTTAGACCCTGTCCCAATAAACAAATACTTAAAAAATAAGATATGATAAGCCGGGCATGGTGGCACATGCCTGTAGTCCCAGCACTCAGGAAGCAGAGGCAGGTGGATCTCTGTGAGTTCAAGGCCAGCCTGGTCTACACAGTGATTTCCAGGACAGCTGGGGCCACAGGGAGACCCTACTTCAAAAAAACCAAAAAAAAAAAAAAAAAAAAAAAAAAGACATGAAATAGATTATTTTCATTCTGCTGTATCCACCCATCCCCCATCTTTTTTTGGAAGTAGGACATGTACCCAGACTGGCCTTGAGCTCCCTTTGTAGCTGAAGGTGACCTTGAACTCCTGATGCTCCAGCCTCTAACTCCAGAGTGCTACATTTCCAGATATATGCCAAGCCTGGTTTATGTGGTGTTGGGAATCAAACCCAGAGCTTTATGCTTTACCACTATACCAATTGGGCCATATCCCCTGAAACTATTCTGCATTCCTATCTAGATATGAGATAGAAATTAATACAAAGGATGAATAGTTAGGAAGAAAAGTGAGGAGGAAGAAGAGGAGACAAAGGATGAACACATTCAGTTTGGAAGTTCTGCTGGTAAGATTACTCCTATTATTAAGGTATAAGCATCAGATGTACGTAAAAGGAAAAAAGAGACATGAGTCCACTTAAAATCCCAATTAAATAGACAAAATTCAAAGGAAAATATAATTAACCCTATTTAGTGACTATGTTACCTGTTATTCAGCAAAATGTTAGAACATTTAATATCCCGATGGAGGAAATTCTTTTTGTGACAATAATCCAATCCTTCCATTAGCTGTTTCATGAATGACTTGATATGGTCCTCAGAAAAGTGCACCAAACCTGATTCTAGCAGTCCCATTAAGTCATGGTCCATATATTCAAATACAAGGTAAAAGGCACCTACATAACATGAAAAAGAAATTAAAAATAAGAAAAAAAACTGTTAAATTAACAATATCTCAAAGTTGAATATAATTTTGAAGTTATCCAGTCTCTCTGGAACAACCCCTTAATTTTATAGGTGAAGAACCTAAAACCAATCAAACAACTTCCCCTTTTTGCTAATAAACTATTTAAATTAAATCTTGAATCCTACTATTCTGCTATGTAGACTACTTACCTTTAGAGAACACAATTACCATCATTATGTTTTACTTTACTATATATGTCAGTTAGCAAATTATAGACCCTGGGCCAAATCCACTTGGTTGCTTAGTGTAGAATAATTTTTTTGAGTTGGGCATGGTAGTACAGTCTTGTAGTCCCAGCACTTGGAAGGCTGAGGCAGGCAGATCTCTGTGAGATAGAGGCCAGCCTGGTCTACATAATGAGTTCCAGGTCACCTGAGGCTATAGGAAGACCCTATCTCCAAAAGCCCATTTGTTATATGTTATCTAGGGCACCTTTTGTAAAGGTCTTCACATTAGTCTTAGGTCACAGATATTATGCCAGGGTGAGCAAAGTATACTTGGCATAAAGTAGTGGTGAAATTCAAAGTAATTAAATAAGAATTGAAGAATAAGCCAGGCACAGGTAGCACATGCCTTTAGTAACAACAGCACTCCAGAAACAGAGGCAGGCAGAGTTCTGTGACTTTAAGGTCAACATGTTCTACATAGCAAGTTCCAGGCTAGTCAAGACTACATAATGAGACACTGAGAAACAAACAAACAAACAAACAAACAAACAAACAAACAAACAAAAATCAAAGAATAGCAAGATGGTTCAGCAGGTAAAGGCACATGCTACCAAATCTGATGATGTGAGTTTGATCCCAGGGACTCACATGATGGTAGGAAAAAACTCCTTTGGGTTGTCTTATGACCTCCACATGTATATATCATGGCATATCAAGGCACAAACATACATGGGAGGCAGAGGCATGTGAATCTCTGAGTTTGAGGCCAGCCTGGTCTACCTAATGAGTCAGGACAGCTGGGGCTACAAGGAGACCCTGTCTCAAAAAAAGACAAACAAAAAAAAAAAAAAAAAAAAAAAAAAAAAAAAAGGAGGATGGCGAGATGGCTCAGCAGTTAAGAGAACTAACTGCTAACAGCTGTCCATAATTCCAGTTTCAGGGGATCCGATTCCCTCTTCTGATCTCTGCAGGAATTGCACAACATGGGTGTACCAACCTATACGCAAGCAATACACTCATACACATAAAATAAAGAAAAAAGTTAATTAAAAAAAAAAGAGACAGGGTCTCACTATGAAGTCCTGGCTGACCTTGAACTTACAGAGATCCACTTGCCTCTGCCTCTCCAGTACTAAGATTAAAGGCATGATCTAAGATGCCTGGCCCAATAAATGAAAAAAAAAATTTTTTTTCATTACTAATTTTATGTATATGAGTATATTGCCTGCATGTTAAGTGCACCCAACTCGTGTTGTACAATGCCCAAGAAGGCATCAGATTCCCTGGGAACTGGGGTTACAGATGGTTGTTAGCCACCATGTGGGTGCTGGGAATCAAACTCGGGTCCTCTGCAAGAGCAGTCAGTGCTCTTAACTGCTGAGCCATCTCTCCAGCCCCAATAAAAAATTTTTAAAAAAGAATTCAAGGACCTGACATGGCAGTGCATGCCAGTAGTCCTAGCACTTGGGAGGCAGAGGCAGGCCGATCTCTGTGAGTTCAAAGACAGCTGGGGCTACAGGGAGACCCTCTTTCAAAAAGACCAAAAAAAAAAAAAAAAAAAAAATTCAAAAAAAGGTACTAATGATTTAAGCTTATAAGTTCAGAAATGGATGAAAGAAGTGAGAAAAACAATAATAGTTGTAAACAATTTAAATATATTACATACTTTTTCAATTTTAGCACAGTGTATGATAGAGACAAATATGTAGCTCAGCTGATTAAGAGTATGTGCCTAACATAGTATGTTTTCTATTTGTTTGGTTGGGTGTTTTATTTTTTTATTTATCTTTTAAAATTTTATTTTTATTTTCTGTGTATGGGTGTATTGCCTACATGTAGGTAAGTTCGCCCATGTCGTGCAATGCCCACAGAGGCCAGAAGAGGCTGTTGGATCCACTGAAACTGGAGTCACAGACAGTTGTTAGCTGGCATGTGGGTGCTGGTATTCAAACCCAGGTCTTCTGCAAGAACAGCCAGTGTTCTTAATCACTGAGCCATCTCTCCAGCCCCTATTTCTATTATCTTTTTTTTTGAGGGACAGTACAGGATTTCACTATGTAGTCCTGGCTGCCCTGGAACTCAATTATGTAGACCAGTTTGGCCTTTGCCTTCTAAGAAATGGGATTAAAGGCATGTGTCACCATGCATACACAGCAAAAACCCTGGGTTTGAGCCCAATCCCCAGCACCACAAGAACTGAATGAGAGAGTTTGAGACTAGCCTGGGTTACCATGAGACTATCTCAGAAAAGCAAAAGAAAACAAAACAAGAACCCTAGAAAGTTAAGACTGGGACACATTATTATCTGTCTAGGTCTAGAATTCTGTTTATTAGTAGCATAAAAATAAATCGAACTCAGAGTCTCAGGTATACTATGCAAGTGCTCTATCACTTAGCTACATTCCCAGGCAGGGATTCTTTTTTGAGACAGGGTCTCCCTGTACCCCAGGCTGACTTGGAACTCCCTATGTAGACCAGGTTGGCCTTGAATTCACAGAACACCACTTGCCTCTTGCTGAGACTAAAGGTGTGAGCCACCACACCTGGAAAGGGATTCTTAATATACACAGCAGGTTTCAAGGACTCTCTGACCTTTTAGAAACGGGGCACATTTTTTTATTTGTGC